AAAAAAAAAAAACTCCTTTGGGAATGAAATACAGTAAAAATAAAATTTTCAGTTGAAGAAATTCAGAAAGGGATGAGCAAAATAAATAAAGAAATCCCCATCACCTGAGGTGTCAAATACATTTTTTGGCTTACCTTGGGTGTAGCAAAATTTGTTTCTTCCTTCTCACAAAGATTACTTTTAAAGAAAAAATAAATGTTCACTACAGATTCCAGAGAGAAGCCTCATGGAATTAGATTAAATGGGAAAATAATTCCTCAGGACACCCGTGGGAATGGTTTGGCTCAGGGAATTCATAATAGGGTAGGGAACCTTTCACCTCTGCGTCCCTGGTTCTATTCTGGCTCCAAATGAGAAAGCAAAAAACTCTTTAACACTGGGTAGGCTGGTGAGTGGCTTAGTGGAGCCAGATGAAAGGAGCAGCCACTGATGCTGCTGTAAATACAGGCAGTGTCCCCTCTAACAAGACGGCCAGATGGGTCCCCCTTGCTTGTCACTCTGCCTGGCCTCAGTTTTATTTCTAGGACTCAAAAGGGCCCCACCCTGATGAATGTGCAGGGTGCCCCATGCAAGCAACAGTTGTTTTGGAAGTGGAAGAGAGCGGCTTTCCCTTGGGCACCAACTCAGAGAACATTCCAGAACAATGTCTTCTTCTTTCCCTAATACTGCAGCACACCCAGGGAAATCAAGTCTTCCCTTAAGACCCACTTTGATCCCAGGGTAAAAACACAGATCTGGTCCCAATGAAGTAGTCCCAAAAGATCTGTCCCTTTCTGAATTGCCAAACCATTTATTTACTGAAGAGGCATCTGCAGGATATCCTTGGGGTGCCAAGCTCTCTCCCAGGAACACGGTAGGGAGCCGTGCTGAGTCTGATGTTAAACATCTAAAGACCACAAACAGACCCTGAAATCGGGATCTTAAAAAAAAAAAAAACGAAGCTTACCCGGCCAACAAGAATCGGTTCAGGTCCAGAAAACTCTTCCAGGACAAACATTTGATTCCAAACCCAGCCTCTTTTGGAGCGGTTCAAAATCCGCTGTTCTTCACTCAGCCTGTTTAGTTCCAAAGGGGATCCACTCATTAAAACGTGAGACTGATTCATTGGAGCCATGTAAATGCAAGGGGGGAGAGCAATCCATAATATTATTAATGGAGTCCAGAGATCCAAGAGCATTTCCGCTAGCCGTTCTGGCATGGTCCCACCAGTTAAGCAAATCACCACGAAAATGAGACAATTATTTTGTTTGCCTCCGGTCTGCAGCCATCCAATTCATCATGCAGTGC